GTCAGTCAGTCAGTCAGTCAGTCAGTCAGTCAGTCAGTCAGTCAGTCAGTCAGTCAGTCAGCCAACCAGTTTCGATCAGCGCTTATCCTTTCAAGACTTGAAGCGTCAAAGAGTTTCTCAAACGCTTACGATACTGCGCCAGCGCCTGAGCTACGGCAGAAAAAACTCAAATCTTAAGAATCCGTCGAGGCACTTGCTTCAGGTACATTGTCTGCATCTCAAGCATCCGTACCTTATAATATTCTTAAGGTAAAGCTGGTTTAAAGCTACTGTAAACTGCTACTAAACTAATAAAAATTTAACAAAATTAAAAGTAAATAAATTAATGCTAGCACGCTAAGCTCAAAAAGTTTTCGACAATCAAAACTTACTTCATCGAAAAGCTGCAACATAATGGTCAATACATCGGGATGCGCCTTTTCCACTTCGTCAAAAAGTACAACGGCGTTCGGGAATTCGGCAAGCTTCTTCGTCAACTGTCCGCCTTCTTCGTGACCAACATATCCTGGAGGAGAGCCGATGAATTTGGCTACCTAAAACATTTAATTACTAGAAATTTAAATAAGCCAAAGCAAATACTTTTCAAAAACTAGAACAGTTAATTATTAATAGATGCATTGAGTGCGGTCCAAAATAACAAAAATAAGAAATAGTCTAATTTCTGAAATTTGTAATGTGACATCTGCTTCACAGTAATTAAAATAAAGAGCAACTAAGACAACGCGGAGAGTGCATTAATAGATATATATTAGTGAATTAGTATTTATTAGTTTTCTAAATATACTGTTTTTTGTCAAAGAGATGTACGAAAGACATCTATGATAAAGGGGCAAGCTCGATAGCTGAAAGTATATACGGTTCATTAAGAACACTATTAATGACAAATTTTTCGTATAAGCCTTAAGTAGCAGATTCGACGATTGAGTATTTCATTTGTGCATTGGTGATCATACTGAAAACTACAAAAACAATGTTTATTCATACACAGCGCACGCAAAGTGGTCAATCGAGTGAACAACTAGAATTCCAACATTTTAGCTAGTGTCTTTTCAAACGAGTGCGTCTGGTCCATGGCGCTGTGGCGCAGTGTCCGAGAAGTATGCTTCGAACTCTGGAGGAGCCGAGTTCGAATCCACTCGTAGGCAAACTGTCTTGTTGACGAATTCCATTGAACAAACAATCTACCACACAATACTTCAGGATGAGGCTACTAAGTCGGTACAACGTCGAACTCATAACTGGTAGGTGCAAGGATCAAGCCCCGATTTGGATCACACGTCCTTCTTCCTTCCCATGTACCACTTTGTGGGGAGGAAACATGAAAATGAAGATCAGCACCGCACAATTAACAACATCAAAAGACGGGCGCCCAAAAGGTCTAATCATGAAAGTGAAGAAAGTCCGACATTCTACAGAGGATGATCTTTCTCTTTCTTTAATTTTGGCACATGCTACTGGTTAAATAGTTTTTCGTCAACAGACTTAACAATGCTTATCCAATTCGCACGAACTCCGTACCGTTCCATTTGGGACAAAGGCTCTGAACTTTGCATGGACTGGATAAAGCCGCTGCCGAAAAACAACTTAACCAACAGTATAGACCAAAAGAAACGGATAGGCAAGCTAGTGACCTTTAGAATGCCGGTGTCTTCCTTAGTTCCAAACGTTACAAAAGACAGAACAAACTACGGACCCCAGAACGAACTTCGGACATCAACCGTGCCCGCCCTAAAGAAGGTCCGTGAGACACGAGCCGAAATGTAGGCACTGGTTAATCGCCCGACTGAGAAATCTGTCTGCGCTATGTATGAACAAACTGTGTTTCTATACAGTTTTCGGTAAGCAGGTCTGTTTCGATGCCACTGCAACAGTGCTACATATTTTAACACAATATCTGTATCGATATGGCGAGCACAGAGCGAAATCCCATACTTAATTGCTACGTATAAATGAAAAGGGCAATATGAAACGTAAAACTATATACATTTTGCACATATTATAATAATGACAGAAACTGGTTCATTAAGTCCAAATTGTCTCATTCGCTAATTTGCCAAGCTTAGCTAATACAAATTAACATAAATAACTAAAGCAAAATTATCAGTATAACCTCATGCTTTTCCTGATATTCAGACATGTCGATGCGTATGAAGGCCTTTTTCGGGTCTTTGTACAAGTAGTGGGCAACTTGCTTTGCCAACTCAGTTTTGCCTATGCCACTGGAACCAAGGAACAGGAATACAAGTGGGTGCTCGTCGTCGTACCAGCCATTTTCTTTGCGACGAATTGCTTTAAAAAAATAAGCACCTTAAGCCTGTTAGATGTTTGATCACGTGACTTACCGGCAGCCACAGCTGATATGGCACCTTCCTGACCAATGAGCACCTCCTTTATGCGAGCCTCCAGTGGAAACCGTCTCCGATCTTCCAGCTCCATGGCCCTTTTGGTTTGTTCGTACTAAAGTAGCGATGAAAAAGATCAGGAACATGTTACCGAAATCGCGCTCATTCATTTTTGCAACTTGCTATTCATTTCCGATTTAGGGGACAGCTGATTCGGGATGTATTTTTAATGGTTCCAGTGCAATGGAACGTGTCTTTAGTAAAAATGGCGAACTAAATGAGTCTGACTGATGCCAACGGTCCGCCGTAATGAGTAAGTTTTTTGCAGCACCGTAATTTCCACAAGTACATCTAATATCGTCGTATTTCAGGGCAATAGTAACTGCTCGACATGATCATGTCTTTTTTGACTTAATTTCCATGGTATTAAATGCTCGTTGCCCATAAATTGTGAATTTCAAAATCCATGAAGACTCAATGGTTCCAACATGAAAAAAATTCAACGCGCAACATTTAAAGAGGTGACAATTTAGAGGTCAATATACCTAAGTTATATGCCTTTCGGCTTATCATTTGGTCGCTGATCTTCAACAAAACAGAACATTTTCTCACCAAAAGGTAGAGAGCAGGTAGATGCCCACCTCGCGGCTCGGAACTCAGGTAGAGTCTACTTCTCGTGCTTTCGCTGACTTTGGCAATACTTTCCTCTTTCAGGCAGGTCGGTATAGCTTCAGCTAACAAACTTAGATTGGCAAAGATACTTATGTACGAAAAATAATATTTACTACTTACCTTCTAATTAACCAAGACAACTCATTACACTAAAAGAATTGCCTGTCATACCCTTAATTTCATTACATCTTGCCTGGATGACAAATAAGCAAGATACAAAAATTCGAACCTTTTCTGTGTAAGTCTCCAAGGTTTCCCGCATGCTGTCATCGTAAACGTAATCAATGGCCAAATGAGATTCTTCGTTCCTAATGGATGGGTCAGCCCCTAAAAGACAGTGATAAACCATCACAGTGAGCACAAATGATTTTTACGATAAATCATCAGAATCTGCTGCCAGATGCATCGAAAGAAACTGTATAATCTGAAAGGGCGGAAGGAGAAAACCTGTACCGACTCTCTCAGTGGAAAATTACAACTCATCGCTAAGAGGAGGAGAAGATCCTGAAATCCTGGCAGTGCACGATTAACGATATCAAGAAATGGAAAGAAAACATAATATTCGAGGGTAAAACGCGTTCTTCTAAAGGAATTTTAAAGAGCAACTGGGAACACGTTTGAATGTCAAAGTTCAAAAACAAACATATTTCACAGACATTTTAACGTTATTGTTAAAACAGCTTAGTTGGAATCAGAAACGGTGCGATCATCAATGCATCTGGAGCAAGACCGTACAACTTAATGTGCTGAAGAACTACCTCCAGGGCCTGTCAGACTAGCAGCTGCACCCTGTTTAATCATGTCCGATAGATGATGAGTCAGGTGTATGTACTGCAGAAACCAGGCCAGACTTGTACTGGGAGCAACAACAATCACGTTAACGCAATACTACGATCTGAAGCGTAGGAAGATTAAATTATATAGACTTCCAAAACCCAGAGAAGCAAATATTTATTAAAAACTATTAGGACGTAGGAAAGGCAGCGACACTGAGCTGATTATGCATGCTTCCTCCTGCCTGTTCACCTTGCTACTTTAACGTCACTAAAATATTCGTCTTTCTTCAGTTCATTTGTACAGAAAAATTTAAAATACAGGATGAATCAAAACACGAACGTTCTTCATATGCCATAAGCATGACCAAAACATGGGAAATCTTTTTGGAGATGAATCTGGTTATCGGTTTCCTTGAATGGTGTATCCTGGCTGTCAGCCGCAGATCATGTCATTTTTATAACAATTTACTAGTGAAACCTGGGACCACTTGAAAACAGAATGTACAGACTACCGCTGGTGTCATCCAAGAACTTACAGCTTGGGTCTTGTTTAAAGAATTCAAGGCCTTCATAACTACTTTAAGTCGCTTCTGGAATGACTGACATGTTATGCCAGTAAAAGAAGTATCTCACGAATATGTTGGAAAATTTTTTAACCTCATATTGAGTTTTTTACTAAATTCGGATTGTTATTTATATATGATTATGCTAAAAACCTTACAGATATGGGATTCGCTCAATGCTGGAACATCAACTTCAATTCGAATAGGGGATTAAATATAAATTATTTATGGGTTATGGGGTTTAGACGAGAACTTAACTTTTACCGTTTATACTCGACACCACAGGAAAAGGAAAGGCACACGCCTGACGAGCTATAAGCAGTTGATCTTCTGATTCAGCACATAAATTGCAACATTTTTCTTCACTTAGTCACCATATCTAAGGATCAGCTAATAATTCTGATCAATTTTCGTCAGCGGTTAAGCAGTTTTTGTCCCAACATTAGAAAACTTTAGTAAACAAATCTGCATGGAGTACATGGTTAATCTAAATTTACCGCCTACCAGACTGGCCATATAATGTAAACGTGAGATAAAAACATGTCTACTGTCCTACAGTTAATGCATATCACTTATGTTCTATCTCTTACAGTTGCTAGGCATGAGAAGAATTAATCTGTCATTAACTGTGACATGACTTTAAGCAATGAGGAAACAAACCATCTCAATTTCTGACCTGGAATCATACCAATCCTAAATAATATTCCCGTAAACAACACAACATTAAGAGTCGAGAAATGTCATGATGAAATTTTGGTGACAAACCTCTGATTTCTCTGCTATTAAGGCCATTAATTTGATATTGCTTCCCTGGTCCCACTCATTCAAACTTAGCCTGATGCTGGCACCATGCAATGCTTGTCACTGAAACAGGGACAGGGCAAAACTGGCTAACCATTTTGAGATGCAAAATTGTTGTAGAACTTCGGTCGCTGCGAGTTTCCTCGTTCTGTATTGAATTAACAATAAAGCAAATACCCAATTTACCTGAACCCGCGTTCTAACCCACCCCATCCCCCAAACATCCTAAAACACACCATGTAGCATTCAGTTCACAGAACCAACACAGGCAAAAACAACGCCCAAGCTTCTTGCACAACCTCAACGGTGTCCAGTATAAGAAGATGCCTCAACACCCAAGAAATTTTCAACCTTGTTTAGCTTGAGACGTTAGGACCTCTGGACTCTGGAATCAGGAGTTACTGTTGGTTCAGTTTTTTATCAGTGTCTTTTCATTGCAGTTTTATTTTTATTGCAGCTTATGCTTTGCTGAATAGTGCTTAACATTATTAATTGTTCTGATGTTTATACTGTTCTGATTCTTTTCTCTTATCTTTATATAAGCAATTACTGATATTATTGTATATAAGTAGCGAATTATTTGTTAGAACTTATCTGTACAAATGATGAAAGTTTTGTGTTCAGCACGTACCATGTTCGAGCAATACTTTGACCGTTTCTTGGTGATTTCCCAACACGGCGTAGTGAAGAGGAGTCGTGTTTTTGAAATTCGCGCTGCGAACCAGACGACCATTGAATGCATCGTCCCGAAGGAACAGAGCTAAAACGGCGAAGATGCATAAAACGACTTCGAAACAGAAGTGCAATATTTCTACTGTCATATGTAGTTATTTATTTCTTGTTACTTCATTTTTACATTAATTAAACAATTGAAAGTACTCCTAACCTTCCAAAAAATTGACGCCCTTAGTCTGCGCTGCGACATGGATGTTGCTGAAGTTATCTAAAATGTTTACATCGGCGCCCAGTTCAAGCAAAGTTTTGACGGCCCTGAAATTATCACTTTTCAGTGGCTGTCTCTCATCGAGAATAAAAGCCGTACCTCACGTTACCGTGGAATGCCGCAACATGGAGAGGTGCCCAACCAAGGAAATGCCGTTCATTGATATCAACGCCGCTCGCTGCCAAACTAAAATACACAAAGTAATACATCAATCAACACGTTCGAAGAAACGGTAGGCACCAACAGGCACAGCTAATTTCTAAGTGGAACAAAGAGGTGAAGTACTTCAGGAGGTTGACCAGTTTAAGTATCACGGCTCTACCGTCTCTAGCGATGACTCCATCTAGCCACAGTAACATAAGAAAATCGCCCCAGCAATGACCGCTTTTTTACTGTCCAATATTTGGCCGCAGAACGGAGTACCTCTTTCCACATAAATCTACCTTAACTTGCCTCTCTCAAGTCAGCGTTGTTCTACGGCTTGGAAACAGTTGTTCTAAGAAAAGGCGGTCAGTATACAACACAGAACAACAAGGTAATGCAAATCGGCTTTTGGAGAGGAATATTTCCTTCGACAATGCAGCAACGAAAGTGTTGAAAAGCCGCGGATACAGCGGACGCCACAAACCGGAGACGTTCTGATTACGCAAACGGATCAATGTTATTATCTCAATTAACATACAAGCAAACAACATATATTTAACATATGCAGTACAAAAAATCCCCTGGAATATAAATAAAAAATGGATCAGCTTGATCAAGTCAAAAAACATCTACTTTATAAATGTACTGAAGCCATTATATAATTTACTACGACTCAAAACCATATTTTGACCCTTCACTCGAGACACGGATCGTTCATTTACCTAGAACTACATCATGACAATTACCTTATCAGCTAATCTTGCACTCTACCATGAAATATTAAAGAGAGCTTAAAAAGAATTGCACTGCGTGATACTACTAATGCCGATCTGCAAAAACGGCAGAAATCACGTTGTAATCTGAAATTCCAATATCGTAATCCGAGAGTACCCTCATACTTCTCCACTGAACCTTAGAAGATCCCCTCTCTTTGAGCTTTCACGAAAAATATGAAAATTTAAACTCCTGTTCCATGCACCGTGGCAGTGTGAGTGAAATCCCAGTCAGAAACAAATTATATCGCCGTTTCATCTAACCATTTCCACAGATCCAACCATGTAAGGGAACTTTAAACACCATAAGGTGTTCGTGTACCCGACTACGTCAAATAACCAATGACTTATGCAAGACCAGACTTCATGGAGTACTGCGTCGCCCCGGTGCTCTTGGTTGCCTACGAGAGGAAGGGGTCATT